GATTATATCTAATCGAAAGTAACATATAAGATACGTCGTCATTTTCGTTGTACCCACGGTGAAGAAAACAGCAATTGATAATCGCCCATCGTTGTTATCCAACTTTTTTTCATGCGTAGGATGAAACGCCGGTGCGTAGCCTGCGAAATAAAAAAAAAATAAAAAAAAAATAAAAAAAAAAAAAAAGGTAAACCTAAAGCAATTATATCCGATTCAAACACGCACATTAAACACAAAATTTTTTGAACGAATTAAGAAGAGAGAAAGAGATTGAAAGCGAGAACGAGATTAAAAACAGAGAGTGGGGGGGGAGAGAGAAAGAGATTATTATCATATATATATATATATATATATAAAAATCCCGAGATCTTTGTTAATAATAAATGTTCCATTTTCATTCGTTTAATCGCACTAACACAAAGTTTATTACATTCTTTATTACTTTATTAATAATCGGGACGAAAAGCTTAATTCTTCGAAAATGTAAATCAAGTTTTTAGCTTTTTTCCCCGATTTCGTCCCGTCCAAGTAAATTCTCTTTCTCTTTTCTATAAATCGTGTATATCATCGGTGATAAATGAAGCTCATATCTTTCCTAATCGCATTCATAAAAACTGCATTGTATATAAACGCCGCATATATAAATATATATATATAGATAGGCGATAAATAGACGAATGATTTTTCCGCGTAGCGTCCTCATCGCAAGAAACAAATAAAGAATGAGAAAAAGAGAGAGAGAGAATTATGAAATGCAGATAGAAACGAAACAGATCAAGAGTAAACACACGTGTATCGTTGCGTTACGATATTCAATATAAAAAGTTCGTGTCGACGAATTAACACGTTCGCTTGAAATTACGGTCAAATTATTTCAAAGATAAACAAAAATTCGATAAATAATTACATTTGTGTTGAATTTAAAAGTAACTTCGATCAATTTCGTAAAAAAAAAAAAGAATCGTTTGAAAAATTCGCGTCATATGTATACATACCTATAAATATATATATATATATATATACAGAGATACAAATTTAAAGCGCGAACATGACAAGATTTTCTCAAAATCGCGATCGTCGTTTTTGACCGTATGCCTTGTAACATATTTTACAGGAGAAAAAAAGATTAACATATTACGTGATTTGTACATATTATAAAATGAACAAATGCCATCTAATGCGATGAACCAGAAATGACAATGTTACAATGAGTGTGATCGTTTATGTGTAAAGATAGAAAACAAAAACCAAAAATAATAATAAAAAAAGGATAAATAATGGCATATATGAAACGAGAGAAAGAGAGAGGTAAAAAATAGGCTGATGTTTCCGATCATAAACGTTGTGTTTCATATCATAAATAAAATATAATATATCGTTATTTGTTAAAAAAAAAAAAAATAATATTACAAAGAAAGAAAGAAAAAAAGAAAGAGAGAGAGAGAGAGGAACAAGGTATTCGAGAGGAGTTGAAATTAAAAGGACGAGGAAGGGAACGATGAGGACGAGAGTATCGATCGCATGACCAACAAATCTAGTCACTGGTAAATATATATATATACATATATATATATATATGAAGTAGGTGTTGCGATCGATACCCTAGACGTGGGGGTGGCGTCTATCAACTCGCTAGGTCTTATCACCTTTATATTTTCTTTTCTCGATGGTATTGCTAATGAAAGAAAAATAAATGAAAAACGAATTTCGTGACGAGTTGAAAAAAAGTAGGTCAAAGAATCGCAACGTAATGGGATCGATCAATTGAGAGGAGGGTTGCGTCTTAACACAGATCATTATGTCTTGGCTTCTCTCTTCCTCCTATCTAAACCATCCTATTAAAACCCTTTCTCCCCTTCTTATCTTCAATCAATGAACCAACACCTCCTTCGACTATCCGTAATTTCATTTTCATATCAACGCAAGTACGCGTACACGTGTAAGATACTAGCGCATTTATCGGCCCATACCAATCTCACAGATAAATATATTGCACATACGATTGCACATATTATTATACATACCACTCAATTGTACATACATACGTAAAAACATGATCGTGATATTGTACGTCATAAGTCATAACCGAGCCGTTACCTCGCGCAATTCCTACAAAGTCGACAATTTCACATGAGGCTTTTATCTTTGGGAAAAATGAAACGCGAGTGAGAATCGTGGAGAGCGAAGAAGTTTGTTTTTTTTTCGTTTTCTTAAAAAAAAAAAAAAAAAAAAAAAAAAAACTAAACGATTCGATTTCCCAGCTCTCTCGAAATAAAGAAAATACATGTAATCTTAATATGTCTCAAGCTCGCATTCGTATACTCAAGTATATCGGTGTATCGTCGTTACTTGTGCCACACTGCGTGTTCTCTCTTTTTCCAATCCGTATTCTTCTTCGTTATTCATTTTACTTCTGTTACTTTATAATTATATTGACAAAAAAAAAAAAAAAAAGAACATATCTTTGTAAGCTTAGCAAAATGATAAACGAAAAAAAAAAGGTCTAAATATCGAGATGTTTTGCATGCGTTCATTCGAATCTCCGAGAAGATGCTTACGGATAATCCTCGCAGCATCTTCTCTGAACAAAGAGAGAAAGAAAGAGAAAGAAATATATAATGGACAGAGAGAATGTTATCCGTGCTTCTGTTAGAGACTTTTTTAAGGATATACCACCAGAGGTGCCATCGATTCTCGCGAGTGTATGGTAGAAGAAGGTGTATGTCGACGACGATGACGATGACAAGTACATTAAATGAAGTCTCGAAAGAAATAAACAAATACTAATAGCTTCTTCGTACATACATACCTTTTATTGATTATTCTTTCGTTTATTTACCTTGACCGCGAGAAACGGCTTTCTTCTAACGGCATACACTTACATTTATCCTGCCCGATGCGAATTTCTGTAATAACGAAGAAAATAATAAACGCGCTTTCGCGAGCAACATAAAAGGATATCAGAAAGAAGCATATAAGCGATACGTACGTACGTTTACATCGTGTGTATGTGTATGTGTGTATATATGTGTGTTTGTGTGTGTGCGCGTGTGTGTATGTATAATATATATATATATAGAGAGAGAGAGAAATATATAGGGTTTCTTGTAGCTGGTGGTACAGGTGAGCATGGGATGATTTCATATGAAAAATTAAATCAAATATGTGGATTACAATTTTTTATATAAGACTTTACATTGCAAAAAAATAAGTTTAAAGTTTCATAATGAAACTGAATCAAGTGCATGAGTACTTGACAAATTTTTAAACTTATTTTTTGTTTCAAAACAAAGTCTTACATAAATAAATTTGATTCTACAGATTTTATTCAGTTTCTTATGTATCATCTCCTGTTTATCATCAATTACAGGATACCCTGTATATAAACATGAACATATAAGATATATATATATATATATATATATATCTATATATATATAAAAATCTCGTGTCACAGTTTTCGTTCCCATACTCCTCCGAAACGGCTTGACCGATCTTGATGAAATTTTTTGTGCTTATCCGGTATCTATGAGAATCGGCCAACATCTATTTTTCATCCCCCTAAATGTTAGGGGTAGTCCACCCCTAAACTTTTTTTTTCATTTTTTAGACAAAAATTGTAATTTCTATTTTTTTATGATACAACATACNTTCAAATGACATCGTTCGGAGCAACAGAAATAGTTCGAAATACTAATGCAAATGGTCAACAATTCAATTCTACATTCACAATCAGAGGCCAAGTTTATCATAAAATGGGCTCACTGCTGCCAATGCCAAACGAACCACATAAATTCTTACARATCTACTTTATGGGCGGCGAGGATTCCGGAAGCGCACTTGCCAATCGCGTGAAKGCACGTTGTGAGTGTGAATTCAGTTTYCRATTAGATTGGCWTTTGCAATGACTATCAACAAATCCCAAGGTCAAACGATATCTGTTTGTGGATTAGATTTGAGAACACCATGTTTTTCACACGGACAATTATACGTGGCATGCTCTCGAGTGGGTAAACCATCCAGTTTGTTTGTGTTAGCTAAAGATGGACTAACAAAAAATATTGCTCACGCTATAGCATTAAGAGATTGATATTGTTTAATAGTGTTACTGTCGTAATTGTTTAATTAATGATATATAATTTTAAGGAATAAATTATAATAACTTAAAAATAATGTTTGCCTTTTGTTATTTTTATATTCCCTTATCGTTCACAGCGCTCCATGCTTATTTCACGCATATACCACATTCTTACATACATACAATATACACATTCTAACATACATACATACTTACAATAAGTAAGCTATTTTTTGTCTACACTAGAAATTACTAGGAAATTATTTATATGGCAAAACAACGTTTGCCGGGTCACCTAGTATATATATATATATACACATACACACGATGAACTTCATTTCAAATTTTTCTCCTGTTGTCCGTTCGCACAGTTTTCTCGTTCCTCATTTGTGTAAAATGTACCATATCCAAAGGGTGCTCTTAAATGGATAGCGGAACAAAAATGATTTGCGTCATAAGGCGATAAATAATAAGGTGAAAAGAAATAGAATGGTTTTCTTATTGGAAATGGGCTGCCTCGAAGGAAGGTAATCCAAAGATTCTAATAAATCATTAAAACTTACTAGTCTGAATGCTTTTTTCCTTCTTTATGTACATTTCTTTCCTTTTAATCCCTACATGTATGATTACAATGGCATCTACATGTTTCCATTAACTATGATTTTGATTATCAGCTAGAGTAAAAATAATAAAAGAAAAAAAAAGAACGAAAGAAAGAWATAAAAGCTTTAGATTTCTTTATATAAAATCAAAGAAAAATATAAACTACTTGAATCTTCTTTATTAACTCATTACACTTCTATATAATTCGTATAAGTGTTCTAGAGATAGTTCTAGAAAAGTATACGAATTGTAGTATCAAATATTAATTATAAATAACATCTTGTCTATAAATTTTTTTATACTATTGTGAGGAAGCATTTCTTCTTGCCTAAAAAAAAAAAAAAATACAAAATTTAAATGGTATAAAAATTTAATAAACAAATGAGACTTGCAAGTAAATTAATTTCAATTTCAAAGCATGTTTCTTAAATCTATTATAAATAAATGTTCTTTATAATATTGATTTTAATTAAACATAAATTAATTTAAAAAATGAAGTATATTTAAAGAACACATAATATGACATAACTGTATTTACCCTTTCAAAAGCTTCCCATCTTTCTTTATCATAATTACTTTGGTAACCTTTCGACAAAATGCATATCGCATAATTTATCCAAAGTATTGGTGCAATTTTGAGTAGCAGAGACATTGTCAGTTTAAAAAAGAACTCGATAAAACGAATGAAAAATCTTCTCCGAGGAAAGAAATACAAGTTAAGTGAACATACATTGATTAAAGGTTAACTTTAAGTAGACTGGAAACTTAAAGATACTATAATTTCCTAAAGAAATTCCCTAAGTTTACTAAGTCGCTAAGGTTGCTCGCTATTCGCTGATTGGTCGAATTGAAAAGAGCTACTAGGTGGCGCTAAGAGTGCAGTGTGAATCAAGAAGGAAATCGACCGAATGCTTCTAGTCGCACGTTATCCAAGACCGCGCGAGGACTGTAAGGTCGTGAGGCTATCAGTTCGCTTACTTAATATTTGTGATTGGCCGACGGGTCTCCCGCAATCCCCACCTACTAGGTGGCAGTTCGAAAGTGTAGTTGTGTAGTTTGTTAAGAAGAAACGACGGGCGCTGCTCTCTTTCTTTCCTTCTTTATTTCCCCATTTTCCATAAGTTATAACCGCTTCGAGAAAATCTTCAAATGTTCTATCGGTGCGTTAATATGTGACGTTAAAAGAAAAGAAGGCCAAGGGAACGTGCGAAAGGGTGGTTACGCGCGGTCTTTAATCACTTTTCAAGTGTGAGAGAAAATCTTTGCAGGAGGAGGTGGAAAGCCGAACACGAGATCCACGACGGCGACGACGAAGACGGAGACGGAGACGGAGACGTAGACGGAGACGTAGACGGAGACATAGACAGAGACGGAAACGAAAACGAAAACGACGACGACAACGACGACTACGACGTTGACGAAGACGAAGACGAAAACGAAGACGTTGACGAAGACGAAAACGAAGACGAAAACAACGACGAAGACGTTCAAAGTGCTGGAAAGAGAAAGAGGAAAATCAGTGGTGGAGGATAGGTTGGTCGTCAAGAGGCCGTCGAAAGACCCTGGTGAGAGATTAAGGAAAGACGAAAGAAAGGAGGAGAGAAAAAGTATACCTTGAATCGAGAAAAAGAAAGTTCAAATAATAAACCCTTAATAGACGAGAACGAAGGAAACGGGAGGAGAGAAAATTTGTCTACTTTGAAAAACAACGTGATTGGAAAATACAAACGGCGGCTTGTAACGTATCCCCAAAAACCCGACCGAAGACCTACGGAGACGTACGAAGAGCAACCGATTGAGAGGGGAAAGAGTGGACAATACGGCAATAGGGTGAAGACGATAGAGCAACGACAATCGAAGACGTACGCGTGTTGGGTAGGTTAGTCCTCGTTCATTGAGATAAATCATTAGTGATCTTTCGTTATTAACGAAAATATAACCTAAAAACGACAAGAAAAGTTTGATAAAAGACACGTATTCGCGAATATAAGTAAAAAGATTTCTTTCTTTTTCTTTTTTCTTTTCTTTCTTTCTTTTTCTTTTTATTCATATCTTTATTCCAAAGACGAAGTCGTCATCGTCAAGGTGTTCGTGAGTTCCGGGTGCGGTGATAGTTTTCTACGAGATCACGGAATTGTTTCTCTGCTTATTTCTTTACTGTTTCGTTCTGACGTTCCGAAGCACGAGATTAAAAAAAGAAAAAGAAGTGAAAGAGTGAGACGAATAGAGAGACAGACGGTCAGATAGATAGAAAGAGTGCGAGAGAGATAGAGTGGTAGAGAGAACGGTAGAGTGAGAGAAAGAGATAGAAAACGAAGAGGACTGTATGCGCGTCAGCTGTATGCGCTTTTACAACGAAGGTAACGACGTGTGTGTGATACTGTGACGAGAAGAGAGAAAGAGAGAAAGAGCAGCTACGAGAAGGAAAGAAAGAGAGAGATACCAGCCACTGCCGAGAGATAGAGAAATGGCGGCGCTGGTGGCAGGTGTCCAGTATGGTTTGTCGTCGCAAAGCAATTTTTACGAGGATAAAGATCTCATATTTGTGAAGCTAACGGATTCGGCGCATCGTGCCATTGAAGACTATGTTAGAAATAAGGTAAGTTTGATCTTTACCAAAATTGCTCTTATTTTAGCTAACATTTATTAGGCTGATCCCTACTGCTGTTTCCAAACGTACATATACGTCCACAGTAGTAACAGTAGCAGCAGCATCAGCAAACTCGTGTGTTCGTGTGTGTGCACTCGCGCGCACATCAGCGCCACGCAAGCTCGTGCGTTATGTGGCCCGTTTACGTCGAGTTTACGTGCCGTACTTGCGTGCGTGCGTGCGTGCGTGCGTGCATGCGTGGGTGCGTACATACGTGCATGTATGCGTGCGTGCCTGTCTGCCTGCCTGCCTGCCTGCCAGCGTGTTTAGAATATTTGCATTGGTGTGCGTACGATCTCGTGGCTGAAAAACCTGTGTCGTAACGGATACGCACGTTTCTACGCACGATATTAATCAAAACCATATGTATTTCAAATATAGGCAAAAAAAAAAAATCATTAAAATTCATTTCGGACAAAGAGAATTATATGACCGAATTTAGCTTAACTAGTAAAATGTATTAACGATAACGCTTCTGTCATCGAAAGGTCTCAAAGCGAGAGCAAGATTTTCAACTCTCGACATTTCTAACCGTATGCTTTGACAACTGCGATTACTATGTTACGTAAGCATTTGAGAGTACTCAACGCACACTCGCCAGACCACACGGATTGTGCCTTCTTTTTTTCTTTTTTTTTTTACTTTTCTTTTTTTCAACCCCTTCCCTGTTTTCTTTATTTTTTTTTTTTTTAATTTTATTTATTTTTGAAAACATTTTTTTTTGACTTCTTTTCCAATAAATTTTGATCATATTATAACCATCTTTACGTAATATATATTTTACAGGATTTTTGTTTTTCAAGATTAAAAAAAAAAAGACGTCTGTAGTCGTTTAGGACGAAAAAAACGTGTCCGGTTATTTAATTTTCAATAAACATATGTTCATCCTCGCATTTTCTCTTTCCCTTTCTGCCACGCACACTCTCTCTCTCTCTCTCTCTCTTTCTCAAATTTCATTTACCCAATATATTGTTCGAAAAGATGTATATTTTAAAGATTACGTTCGTTATTTTATAATTTGAGGATTTAGGGAAAATATTGTGAAAGTAAAAAAAAACAATTCTTTGTTGCATATCGAAGTAAAAACGTATTTACAGATGATTCATCGTCTTGCCAGTCGTCACTATTTAACGATCACAATTTTTACGGTCTTATATTTGCAGAAATATATATATATATATAAATTATATTATATATAAAATGAAAAAATAAAAATTATAATATTTATTATTTATTGATTTAAATTTTAATAAATTATAATAGATTAATATTAAATAGTAATAATTTTAATAAAAATTAAAATTATTATATTTATTATTTATATTATATATTTATATATTAAAATTTATTATTTATTTATTATATATATGTATATATATTATATATATATATATATATATATATATATATATATATATATGTTGTACATCACAATATGTGTATATACGTATCTATATATATTTAGGTATTTAGGTAGAAAGAAAAAAGTTCTTAAAATTAGATTGTTCATCGTGAGCATAGCAAAGTGGCTTTCAACGAATAAGGATGAAGAAAAGAGAAGGGACAGCTTAAAACTCTCGAATGGTGACATTGTAGAACGGTTCTCCTCGAGGTATCGCCGAGGCAAAGCTGAAAATAGCCACGTCGGTGGTCGTCGTGCGGCCTTTAAAAGACGTCATGTAGTGTTTTTGCCTGAGCTTTTGTTCACGCTTTTTTACCTGTACTTTTGTGTTCAAACTTTTATACCTTTGCCCAGTTTTTTTCTTTTTTTTTGTTTGCACTTTATTTTAGGGACTTTTATATATTTATTCTTTCGTATTTATTTCTTATTTTTCTTAGTTTTATCAAACTTTCACATTTTTTTTTTTTTTAAATTATTTTCAATTCAATAATAGTGGATTCATGTTAGGTTTAAAAGTACGAAACTAAAACGTGAAAAAGAGAGAGAGAGAGAGAGAGAGAGAGAGAGAGAGAGAGGAAGAATTTATTGAGACAAAATGACGACGACGACCAAGACGACCAAGACGACCAAGACGATGGTCACTCTCATCGACAAACGTTACGCTAGCTGTGAATTTTTAAACGTCACCAGACCCTCTCCCTCCTCCTCCTCCTCCTCTTCCTTCTCCTCCTCTTTTTTCTCCACCTCCTTCTACAACTCTCTCGGACGAGATTCGAAAGTAGAATTGTCGCGATATATTTTCTACGAGAGAGATAGACTTTGTTTATCGAATGATTTTTGTACCACAAACCCTATCATGTTCTCTCAGTTCTCTTTATGATACAACCTTACAATCTCACAACCTTTTCGAGCCTACATTTTCTTAAAAAAAAGCTTTTGCTTATCTTTTTATACTTACTTTTACTTGTTATTTAAAAGCAACGTAAAAATCGATAATAGCGAACGTTGACTTCTCTTATTAAATTATTAAATAATTAATAAGAATAATAAGAATGTATAATATTAATAATATATTAAATATTCTTATTAAATTATTACATTTAATTATTTATATTTAATTTTGTTAAAATATAATTAATAATATATGATTAAATTTGTTATAATATATATTCCATATTTTATATTTTATATATTAATATAATATATTATTCCATATAAAGTTATAAAGCTAATATATATAATTGAGATAATATAATAAATATAAAAAAAATTTATATTTAATAATTAATAAGAATAATAAAAATATAATATTAATAATATATATATATATATGTATTAAATATTCTTATTAAATTATTAAATTTAATTATTTATATTTTATTTTGTTAAAATATAATTAATAATATATGATTATATTTTTTATAATACACACATATTATATATATTTTATTATAATATAATATAATTATTATAAAATAATTATATTAATATTAATATAATAATATAATTATTATAATATAATATAATATATATAATATAATATAAATTATTATATATAATATATATTATTCTATATAAAGTTATAAAGCCAATATATAATTGATAATATAATTAATATAAAAAATGTATATTTAATAATTAATAAAAATAATAAAAATATAATATTAATAATATTTAATAGTCTTCCTCTCTCTCTCTCTCTTATTAAATTATTAAATTTCTTATTAAAAATTGATATGTTTTTTTTTTGTTATTTTTTTATTGTTTTTTTTTATATATATATATATATATTTTGCATAAGCTATAGGCGTGTTCGTGATTTGTAATATTATAATCATTTTATTAATGAAAATGATACGTGTCTATTTGTGAAAGTTAAAAAACATATTTACATTTATATGTTCATGAATTTTTAATAAGAAAATAAATTGTTGGTAGAGAAAATTGAATGAAACTTCGAATATTTTTTAGAGACAAAGAAATCTTCCTTTTCTTTTATCAAGTTTCGAAAGAGTTAATAACCACATTATTCTTTTCAATAAGATATAAATTATCCTTTTTTTTTTTTTTATATAGATTTAGCTTGGCCAAAAAAAAAAGAAAAGAAAAAAAGGTTGTATCTTTTTCCAAAACCTTATTTTTCTTTCATCCTTTCTCTCTCTTTTCCTTTCCCTGTTCTTTTTTTCTACCTGAACAAAATTGTTTTTCCCCACTCATTGTCATTTTTAACTTTCCATTTTATCTTTTGCCTATTGAATTGTGTCGAAAAAGAAACGAAAGTATTTCCAGATGGTTCACATTTCTAAATCAACAAAAAAAATAAAAAAAAAAAAAAAAAACAACAAGACAAAACTGAATGTATAGTAAATTCGTTCAGATCAGGTCAGTCGTGTTAAAGCGTAAAAATAAATAATGAAAACCTGTTTTGTCGAATGATCAATCAAATATTTTTCGTTGAACGACCATTTTTTTTACAAATACTTCCTGGACACGTATCTCTCTCCAAATTTTCATCGAACCAATTGTTCTCTTGAAAGCGATTTTGACGAGTTTAAACAAAATATAGATAACAGCGTATCTTTGAGTTGTACAAACTTTTGTAAGATTAGATTGATATAATAATATTTTGCTTGATACTAATTGAAAAACAATCTGAACTTTCTTTTAATGCGTAATATGTACATATTATTTTTTTTTCTTTCTATTTCTTTCTATTTCTTTCTTCCTTTCACCCTTTTGCTGTTCTGCGTTAATGCGTTAAACGTATATATATATATATATATATATTTTCGTCCCTTAGTCGACCTACATTGAACGATCGGAAGATAAATTGATCGAAAGAGCTCGTTGATTGGTGATTGGGTGCATTTTCTTTTTATATTTTCTATTTTCTATTTTCTTTTTTCGTTAACAACATCCAGTAAGTAGTATATTACGTAATAGAATAAATAGAACAACATTATTTATTTGTCATAAACATAAACAACATATATGAAATTAACATTTGATTAGAATTTAATTTAAATATACATATGCAACATATTTAATATTATAATATATTTTTTTCTTTTTTTTTTAATATAATTTTTATTTTAATATAATTTTTTTTATTTTAATTATAATATATTTTTTTTTTTATTTCAAATTATATATTATTTATCTACAATTTTTTTTTTTTTTTTAATATAATTTTTATTTTAATTTATATTTAATTTATGTAGAATTTTTATTTTAACATAATCTTTTTAATTTTAATTTTAATATAATTTTTTTAATTTTAATTATAATATATATTTTTTTTTAATTTTAAATTATATATATTTTTTTTTAATTTTAAATTATATATTATTTATATATCTATAATTTTTTTTTTAAATATAATTTTAATTTTAATTTATATCTAATTTATGTAGAATTTTTATTTTAACATAATCTTTTTAATTTTAATTTTAATATAATTTTTTTTAAATTTTAATTATAATATATTTTTTTTATTTTTAAATTATATATTATTTATTTACAATTTTTTTTTTAATATAATTTTTAT